GTTTCCATAGAGGTCCCAAGCTCAAGTTCTTCATTCTGTTCATCTTGGTAGGAAGTGCCATGTCTTCTGTGCACGTCAGGTAGAAGACTAGTAAACTGAATTTCAGTTAGTAAAATGAAGAGCATAATTTGCCTTTTCTAATTTGCGTAGAAATTACCAGCGAGAATTACCAGGTTTAATTTTTGTTTTGCTCAGATTTACACTTCCTCTGCTGACAGGAGAAGGAAACACAGCTTAGCTTGTCTCCAAGCAAGCCTTTGACTGTGTCTGAGGAACCAGCAGTAGAGGGCCCCCCACCTGGAACCCAGAGATCGCACACACTCACCCTAAGGTTCAGACACTGCCCAGTTGCCTCTTGATAGTGGCCTGCCAGAGGTGTTTGTAAGACACAGTTAGGCTCTATCACAGGAAAAGTGACCCACGTCTATACAGCAGATAAGATGGGACTATCCTGTTTAAGGGCAAGAGCAAAGATGGGGAAAGAAGCACAAAGAAACATCTCCCAGTGGAACTCATTCCAGATTTTGGGTGAGTTAAAAATCCCTGGCAGGGGAAAGGCTTCTGGGCAGCACTTGCATTTTGGTTCTCAAATTGAAAATTAATTAATATTAAACTGAGAAGGCGTTTGGATGGTGAAAAGTCAGATACACAAAGTTGAGCATTGCATCCTGGAGCTGTTGCAGCACAGACAGTGTCATAGGCCCCTGGGTGGACAGACTGCCTCACCAAATGGACCAGGGCACCTCAGTAAGCAGTGAATTCCTCTCCATTGAGAACAATGGAATAAAGATTTCATAAAATAAATAAATCTCAAAGAGTATCTGAGTCAAAGGCTCCTTGGTGATGCTGCATCACCACCACGGTCCTGGGTGGGGGGAATTCATCACCTAACAAGAGCAACTACCTTCTTCACTAGAAGCAAGTTTGGGTTTCTCCCGTTTGACGCACCATCTGGACCTCTAGCTGCCATTCAGATGGGCTTGAGCCTCCTGTATAATGCGTGTATCACTGCTGGAAGCTTGTACAGATGTCTTTGACATCGTACAGGTCTCCGATGTCACTCGATACTTGCATGTGCGGAGTCAAGTCCTGCACACCCCCAACGAATCCTGCCAGCACCCGCCTGGGAAGTGGTGGCTGAAAGAGAGCTCAGTGAACACCAGATGCCACTGTTCACTTAGCCATGCTGTGGTGTGCTGAGGGAAATCATGTTAGAATGCAGGGAAAATTTTTCCAACCTTTCCTTGTGTGCATCAATCAAGCAATGTACATGTCTTTAAATGTCTGAATTTTACTATTTCACATACAGCCAACTTTCATCAACATCACTGGAAGTTCTGTAACTGAAGAGCCTTCAGAAAGCCAAATGTGAGATGGGTTGCCTATTGGGCAGGGTTATAGGTACTATAGAAAGAGGACAACCAGCTTGCGTACCCACACAGCCACCTAATGAACTATCCACTGCTGTCACAAAAGCAGCCTGCTTGCAGGCAATGCGCACACGTGCAGCCATAGACATCCGATTTCTGCTGAAGGAAATCCCGATTATGTTAAAGACCCCACCTGAGGGGTGCCCTGGCACTTCTGGAAACATATTTAGTGGGGCACTGGCATGAGATTAGTGTGGATCTGGCTCATAATGAGGCATAACAAGATCCCCAAGCCCCGAGATGGCCAATCCCCACTTTGGGAGAAATCTTGTATGATACAGTAAATCATACAAGAGACGTGGGCTGGTTGGATGCCCATCCCAGTGAACAAACTTGCTCCCTGACAAAGGCTCAAAACACAAAGGATGAAAACCTACCAAGCATCAGGTGAGAACTTTTAAATCTAATCTTTCTGAGATAAAAGACAAAAAATCAGAATTTTTTCATGCACAAGAGCAATGTAATGAACTTTGGAGGATCACAGTGGCTTCAGGCATTCCCCATGCAGCCTTGAGGGGACAGACCACTGCAACTATAACACATACAGTGAACGCAGTAAAATAAGGAGGGAACAATGAAAAGTCCCCACAGGAAAGACACAATTCAAGCCCCTTTGAAAAGAACAGAAAATATCAGTAAGCACTGGGCAATCTTTGGGCCTCGTTAACTGGCATATTATGACCTCTAAGTGACCTAATGAAGGGATGCCTCATATTTATTTACCAGTAGGACCTATATGACAACCTCTAAAATATTTAATTGACAGAGATATCGTTAATTACCTCAACAGATGCTCAAAATCTAAATATACACCTTATAAAGAAAAGAGTCAAATTAACTGGGTTTAATGGAAAAGTTAGCATGTGTTACACTGCCAAAGCTTCTCTGGCTACCTGGGGAAAAACGAATGACCTCACGTACTTTTGCAATCGCAGAATCTGAAGAAACCATTTTGGGGTAAAATGTTGGCAGTTACCTGAGGGAAGTGTCTGGTCATTCAGAACTTTTTGAAGGAAACTGGAAAATTAACCTTTTATAAAAATAGCTCCTGTCTTACCCACATCTACTGTAATTAATGTCAAATAGTACCACATCCCCCTGCAGCCAGAGAATGAATAAATGAGGTGACCAAGGATTTAGAACAAAGGGGTATTCTAGTTAGGGGACACTCTCCATACAATCCCCATATTTGGCCATGATGAAAACCGAAAACTGGAGGGTAGATGGGACAGAATCACAGAATCCCAGACCGTTAGGGATTGGAAGGGACCTCAAAAGCTCATCCAGTCCAATCCCCCTGCCGGAGCAGGAACACCCAGATGAGGTTACACAGGAAGGCGTCCAGGCGGGTTTTGAATGTCTGCAGAGAAGGAGACTC